CTCAACCACCGCTCAACCACCGGTCCACGGCAACAGTGGGGGTCATCGGTGGTGGCCATTGGTCATGGGCGGTCAAAGTGTAAAGCTCACCAACTATCAATGCAAAGCTCACCAACTGTCAATGGAAAGCTCACTAAGGAACAATGCAAAGCTCACCACTTTTTTTTAAAAAAAAAGCTAATAAAATTGCACCACCAGTCAACCACCGGTCCACGGCGGTAGTCTGCAGTGGTTGGAAGTCAGCACCACCGCCCTTTGTTGTTTTTTTGAAATCATTTTAAACTTTAAAGTGTGGTGAGCTTTGTGCACATATTCGGTGAGCTTTGTAGTGATAATCAGTGAGCTTTGTTGCTGGGCTTTGTAAGCATTTAACCATCAAATTTTGAAAAAAAAAAGTAAAGTGTTGGAAAATCATGGTGAGCTTTGCAGTGGACAGTGGTGAGCTTTGCAGTGATCAATGGTGAGCTTTGCAGTGATCAGTGGTGAGCTCTAGCGTCATCTGACTGACTGAAACATGTCATCTTACCATAAGGTGTCATCTCACCGGAGTCAATCCCTATATATATATATATATATATATATATATATATATATATTGAGAAAAGTATTTATTACTGATTAATGAATACGAAAGTTGGTACAAGAAGTGTCGCAAATGATTGCTCCCTTAACAGCCTTGGGGAGAGAACTAAAATTATTGTAGACGGTATAAAAGTTGTTCTGAATTGCGTGTCTTGCCAGATTGTGAGCTGCCGAGTTTTCTTCTCTGAAAATGTGCCTAATTGTTCCCTTGTTTTTTGCTAGTGTAGTCTGAATCAGGGAAATTGTTGCTGTTGTGTGAGTAGAGTCATTGACTTCTTTAATTGAATTCTGAGAGTCAACTCTCAGATGGATGGGTGCCGTTTGAAGTCCTGCCGCCCATTGCAAACCAAGGTTCGCGGCTGCTAGTTCCCCTTCTTGTGGATTGTTGCCTCTTACTTCCGCTGTAATTGCTGCAATGAAGTCCCCCGTTCTTGAGCGCAGAATTGCTCCTCCAACTTGTCTCCCTTCTCTGATGGCTACGTCGGTGTGGAGGATGACTCTGTTTTCTTCGCCTCTCCAGTTAAGAATCTGAATTGCTGGTGTCTTGAGCATTGGTAGGTCATCTTTGTTGAAATAGAGTTTATGCTTGCTTTTCACAGACGCCCATTCGATAAGGTTTTTCCAAATTAAATGCATTATTTGGAAAGCAGATTTGGGGTCCTCATCATGTTGTCTTCTATTCCTCTCTTTCCAGATTTCGAAGCTAATTATGCCTGGAATCACTAGCTTGGCTGTGCTGTTTGGATCAGAGTTCTTCGTTTGTGTCCACCATGACATTAGGTAAGCCCTTATCCCATGAGTTGTTGTTCGTGTGATTCTGAAAGATGTTTCAAACTGATTCCAAATAGCTTTGCTGTAGTTGCATTCTTTAAATATGTGATTGCTTGTGTCTTCATTGTTCCTGCAAAAAGGACAAATCGATGGCAGGGAGTAACAGAATTTGGTTAGTTGTTTAGGAAATGGAAGAGTATCTTTGTAGAGTCTCCAGAGAAAGATAGAAA